GCATGCTTACCCCCCGGCCATCCGTCTGCCACTGTCCCGGCGACACACTGGCCCCGTGCAGCAGCCCGAAGCAGCCGGGTGAGACTACAGCCCACCCTTCGCCAGAGAAACAAGATGGAGAATCGATCAATACGCAGCGGCACTCCCAAACCAGCCAACAAACACAGCCGAAACCACACAGCCCCCTTCCCAGCCCGAAGCAGCCGGGTGAGACTACAGCCCACCCTTCGCCAGAGAAACAAGATGGAGAATCGATCAATACGCAGCGGCACTCCCAAACCAGCCAACAAACACAGCCGAAACCACACAGCCCCCTTCCGCGGGCCTGGCAGTGGCCCTGCTCCCAGGATTGAGGTTTGCTGTTCCCCAGGGAGAAGAGACATGCCGGGGACTGGTGCGACGGGGTTCCTGCCAGGGAGCACCCAGATGTCGGCGTGCAGCCCATGCTGTGCCCCAGGCAGGAGCAGGCCCCCTCCCAAACACTGTGCTTCTCTCCAGCTTATCCGGCTCAGGAAGACGACGCTACAGGCTCCAGAGGCAGGTCGTGGCGGGGCCAAGAGGCTCTAGCCTCCTCTGGAGCAATGACCCCCTGAGCACCCAGGACACCCCCAGTCGCTCCCGGCACGGCGACGCATCCGGCCAGGCTGGCAGGAGCCCGGTGCCACTGGCCCCGGGGGCGTCTCTCCTCACACAGGCCCAGGGGGGGCGGCGATGGTGGGAGCGAGGGAGGAGGCCGTCTGGGGGAGAATCGAGGTGGTGGAGAAATGCAGAGTAGATGAAGGGTGCGGGCTTCGAGCGATACCTGGAGGGGGAGAGAGGAAGAGGAGACCAGGCGACCCGTCACTGCGAGCCCTGTGCCAGGCAGATCCCCGGTCCCCATGCTCCTGGCAGGCTTTTGGGCATGTCCCAGCCTCTCTCCCTCTTTCTCTCTTTCGCTGTGCCTCAGTTTCATCGCCATAAAACAGAGCTCGCCCATGGGGTCCGTCCCCTCCCTCACCCAAAGTTGCTGGCTCCCCCCCCCCGGCTTGGCGGGAGCTGAGCTCGCCCTCCCTGAGCTGTGCTTGGGCTGCAGGGACCCCCTCCAGCAACCACGTGGGCCCAGGCGCACTCACCGCTGTGCACCGCAATGACGGGACGGTGGTGCTGTGTGAAGCTGGTCAGCCTCGGCGAGGAGTCCTGGGGTGATGGGCTGTTGAAAGGTGACTTGTCCATCTCCGTCTTTTTCACGGTGGGGGAGATGCCTGGGGAGAGCGGGGCGCAGAGTTACACTGAGTGCTCACAGGTGGTGGCATCCTGGTGTGGAGGGGACCCCGGCGTCCTGCCAGCCTGGTCCTGAGCGCGGGGTGATGTGGCAGGCAACGCGAGGAGGAATCGGGGTTCAGGTGCTCGGCCCCAGGACTGCTGGGACAGCGGCTGCAGGGGCTCAGGTGGCTCTGAGTCACATGTGTGTTGTGTGTACAGATTTGTATGCATGAAAATGTGCATGTGCACGTGTGTGTATGTGTGTGCACACATGTCTGTGTGTGCATCTACATGTATGTATGCATGAGTGTGTTTCTGCATCAGCATGTGTATGCATGCATGGGCATGTATATGCATGCATGTGTGCATCCATGTATATGTATGTGTGCACATGTGTGTGTGTGCATGGTTGTATTTCTGCATTGGTATGTGTGTGCATATGTGTGCATGAGTGCACTTGTACGTATATGTACATGTATGTGCATGAGAGTGCATATATGTGCATCAGTATGCATGTGTATATGTGCATGTGAGAATGTGTGTGCATCAGCATGAGTGCGCGCATACGTGTGTGTGTCCCCCGCCCGCCCCAGGTGCGCACATGCAGTGATGTGTATATATCTTTGTGAGTGCATGTAGGTTTGTGCATGCATGTGCCTATGTGAATGTGCATGTGTTGGTGCATGTGTGTGCCTCTGTGGATGTGCACGCACACAGGGAGGAGTGTGTGTGTGTGTTTGTGTGTGTCCCTGATGTGCATGTGAACAAAGTAGGGTAGGGGTGTGCATGTGCAGGTGTGTGCACCCTGGGTGTGTAATTGCAGGGGTGTATGCGTGTGTGTGTGTGTGTGTGTGTGTGTGTGTGCGCACGCATGTGCAGGTGTGTGTCCACCCCAGGTGTATAAATGGGTGCACCCATGGGTGCCCCTGTGACATTGCAACCACCGCTGAACCTGGGCACCCAACATCCCCACGGTGCCCATGGGGCGAGGGAACACCCAGAAGAGCCCATAAAGTGAGACAGCAGCCTGAACCGGGGACCCAGGACCAGGGGACACATCCTGCCCATGCAAAAGGGCTTCCAGGGAGGCAGAAACAGCCCAGCTCAGGGTGCAACCCCTCTCGGCACCCAGAAACCCCTTGCCATGCAGCCAGGGTCACCCCTTGCCCGGGCAGGACGCCTGGGTTTCCCCAGCCATGGCTCAGCAGGGCCGTCCCAGGGTGCAGGGCTGCCCCAGGGGCCGAGCGGGCAGGAGGTGGCCGGACGCTGAGTTAATCCCCTGCCAGCCTGGCTTTAGCTTTGGCCATTTGGCCCAGCCACCGTTAATGGGTTTAGCCCATTCTCAGACGTTCATTTAGGAGGATTTCCCAGAACATCCAGTACGGGATTGAAATAAACCCCCCTCCGCCACTGCTAAGCACGCCCTGCCAGGGACGCCCCTCCTCCCCACCGCCACGGGCTGAGGATCAGGCCTCCGGGTGTGGGAACAGGGATGCAGGCACTCCCGTGCACGGCTCCCCCTGCCACCTGCACACCTGGACACACATGTGCACGGCCCCGAATTGGCACGTGCACGCGTGCGGCTGCAGTTATGCATGCCATACCAGCAGGCGTGCATCCTGCAGCCACCCAAACGGGCCTCTGCCCTGCTCCGGTGCCGGCCAGCTGCCGAGGACATCTGTGTTGCCGCGATCGGCAGTGAGGGCAGCCGTGGGCCAGGTTCACTTGCGGTGCACCTGGGTCCCCAGCGGCACTGCTCGGCCTCCTGGCTCCAGAAGGAACACGCTGTCATGGCCCTCCCAGGGCTGGCTCCGGCCCCAGCCCTGGGCGAGGCAAGAGTTGCACTGGGGGTGTAAATCCTTTCTCCCTGCAGCTTCCGCCCGCCCCAGCCCCAGCACAAGGACCTCCCGGGATCCTCCTGTTGTCCCCGCCTGCAGCCCTGGGGCACAGTCCTGGGCAGCAACGGGGCACAGTCCTGCCCCGAGCTGGGTCACAGTCCCAGGTCATGATGGGACACAGCTCTGGGCTAGGATTGGGCATGGTCTCAGGCTGGGACAGGACATGGCATGGTCTCAGGCATGGACAGGACATCCAAGCCTGGATGGGGCACAGTCCCAGCTCAGGATGGGGGCACAGTCCTGGTTCGGGATGGAACAGGTCAGGATGGGGCACAGTCCTGGGTAGGGAATGGAGCAGGTCAGGATGGAGCTGGGGCCGGAGCCGCCCAGGGCCCAGGAGGGACGCGCAGAGTCCCTGCACAGCAGGAGAGAGGAGCTGCAGCACTTCGAGGAGAGAAACAAAGCCTCGAAGGGGGCTTGGAGCCTCCATGAATGGGCTGGGTTTAAAAATAAAATTCAGGGAAGTTTCCAACAGGAAAAAATTCCTCTTAAATGAAAAAATCTCATTTTTTTCCCCTTTACACAAATAAATTTGGCAAAAACGGGCTGTATCTCCCCCATCGCAGAGAGCCTTGACAGGGCAGGCTCGCTGTGTCCCCGCGGCGGCAGCAATGGGGCCTCGGGGCACCCCGCTGGGGCCGCTCTGGCTGCCGGGGCCGTGGGGGGCTGCAGCCATCTCAGCTTGCCCGGAAAATGCGAGAGGAAAAAT